AAAAAATATAATTTTAAAATAATTTTTCTTATAATTTTTTAAAAATTAAGCTGATAAATACTTCTTTCAATAAGTAATTAATTGGGATTTGAAATAACATTATTTCTTGTCCTACTCCGCTCATTGTACATAGTAATCTTATAAGATGCTTTATGAAGAGAAATCAACACTACTTTTCGATTTCACTTTCATGTCCAATTCCGCTCCTTTACTTTTGGAAGGAATTGAATTATATTCAAATGATTCTTACATATCACCATGCACCCTGTTGTTAAAAGATAAATATCCTACTTGGAAGCATCCAATTTGAGTTAGCAAAATTTGAATCATTCAAGATGTAGGCCCCACTTCTAAAAAGCCAATGAAGATTTACAAGAAACAAAAGGTGCCACCATCTTTAATTTGCCTGTATATCATTACTTTGTAAATTACATAAAAAATTTTAAGTTAGGTCAATTAATAAAATTTTTTTAAAGAACAGCCCGCTCTAATCCAATGGCATTAAATCTTGGATTAGGACCGTTCACCTCCGTGGGTTACACGTTCGTACCCCACGAAAATACTTTCCCACCTCCTCCAATTAACCTTGTAAATAATTACAAATTATTCAAAAAAATAAAATAAAATAAAAATATTTTTAAAGAGTAACTAAATAAAATACCCATTTAAACTTGTGAGTATTTGAAAATACATGACCCCTTAACCTTCTCCCTTATAATCAGTTTCTCATTAGAAATTTTAAGCTTCGTATTTGATTGGTAATAATAATTATCTTTTAATCAAAAAATTTATTCTTTGGCGTAAGTTAGACAATTTTTTTTTTTTAATTAAAGAGGTAGGAACAAAACGCACTAGTCAATACACAAATTATAAACCAAAACAGACCCTACCTAAGAATGAATCCTGATTCCACCTCTAGAAGGGATCTTAGAAAAAGCATGTTAATTAACACCTTCCATTTCAATATATTTTCAAAAAAATTTTAAGTCTACATATACCCTCAAAAGTGTTCTTACCATAAGTGCGGCATGCATGCACTCTTCATCACTTCATGCAACTAAGCTAATTTGAATTAAGATTGGCGGCATTCCTCCATCAATCGAAATATTCCTTTGACTAAACTGCTGAGGAATCCAATTTCCACTCCAACAAACTCCAAAGTCGTAAGAGCAAATTCGGTGAAATGAACTTTGAAAAAGGATATGTAATTATTCAATCAATGAGCAGCCTCAGGCTGGTTCATGAATCAAGACTACAAACACCTTTTTGGATCCATGCATTTACTCTATATAGACAAATCTCAAAAGTCTAGTTAATAAAGACATTCAAATACACATTAATGTAAGGTATGGGGAAACAATAAAAAGAACAGAGAAATGCTACAAATAATCTAACAAGCCATGAAACAGAATTTTTTTTTAATATTAAATTAAGGGCCTACGTGATTAAAAGTAAGGCGGTAAACGAATTGAGTTACTCAATTCAAGTAAAAATTAAACTTGAGTTTTAACTTAAAATTAAACTCAAAAAATCGATTCAAGTCAAATTGGAGTAGCATCCAAAACTCGACTCAGCTTGATTTAGTATTTAAAAAAGTGTTGCCTCAGATAGATGCTGCTGCAAACCTTTTTTGTTAGTAAGCATTTGGAGTGCAAACTCTTAAGAAACATTTTCAAGAAAGCGCCAATTTTGGTTAACTGAAAGCCAGATAATAGTTTCTGTAGATAACAGCTTCTAAAGTAACAGTTTCTCCAAAACGCTACTAAACGAACAGGATAAGATTTTCTCGTAGTGAAAAAAAATAAAGAAATAAAAGCACTAGAAGAAGGACAATAACGGAAACAAATCAACTATTACACGACGAAGATAATGTACATAGAGTTTCACATGGACGGGCAACTTTTCCTATTTTCCAGCTCCAAGGAGTATCTAAGAATCTAAAGATACAAATGGAAACAAAAGATAGTTTCAAAAAAAAAAAAAAAAAAAGAGGAAAAACTGATGACATGAACTACAAATCCTGAGTTTTGAAAACAATTCCCCCATCAACAGATTCAAGAAGCCCAATATCATCAATTGATTGGTCCTCAAGGCCATCCTCGTCAATAGAAATATTCAAATCTAGTGTCACACAAGGACTTGTATCCCCCAATGAACTACCCCTTTCTTCCCCAATCCCTTCCAATTTTTGCTTGGTGAGAGGAGAGCAGGCTCTCGATCTCGAGCTGAAGCTCTCGCAGCTCAAGATAACGATGGCATCACCAAGACTGATTTCCTCTCCATTTCCACTGACAATCCTTCCTCTTTCCATTGCTCTCTTGAACCCCAGTTGAGAGCAATAATCCGCTTGCTCAACATCCTCCATGAAGAATACTCTATGTGGGTTAGACGACACTGCTTCAGCAAACCTTTCAATATAACTGCATTGATGTTCGTCTCTTAATCTTTTGTTCCGGTTGTGATCTTCAGTGGAGTCGGCTCGAGTAGAGGAGAAACTGCTCAGAGCAATTTTAATTAAATTCTCTGGGGAACCGAAAACAAGCCTGGCTAGCTCTTTAGCTATCTTTTCTTTGGCTTGAACATCCACTCCTTGGAAGAACAACCAGGTTTCTTCTTTTGATTCCCCATGCCTTGCGTTCATTTTCCATTTCACCATTCCAGACCTGCATTTCAAGACAGTGTTCGCAATCTCATGGATTATGTCTTTCTGCCACGGCACCTTCTTCTCCAAGGCACTGCATAGGATTGTCAGGTTTTCAGTATTAAACTCTTTGAACCTCCGGATGCTCTCCATCTCCATGAAATCGATGGAAGAAGCTGAGTTGGGGGAGGATGATAATGGTTGTTTATGATCATCCTTGCTTTCCGGGATACACAATCTTAAACTGGTTTCAGCATTCCAAGGGTGTTGTCTGGGTTCAACCATTGGTGGCCATTCACGGTGGTTGTGATGCGCAGTGGGGTATTGGTGGTCATATGAAAAGCAAGAAGTAGAAGATGGTGACACAGAAGAAAACGTGGGGGTTCTTTCAGAAGTAAATGGTTGTTTGTGGACTGAATTGCAAAATGAGTTCCACTTTCTGCAAAGCTCTCTGACGTCTGGAGCAGAGTCCTGAAATTAGAAAGGAAAAAAAAGTTACATTTCGACTTGTATAGCTGGGGTAAGGATATTAGCCGAGTTGGTATTTACTTATTCAAAATCTTGATTCCAAAATCAAGACAATGATGTTTACCATTCTTACCTTATTATTGCAGCCAAGTCCTTTGTTCCCATCTTTGCATTGTTGAAGCCATGCAGGAAGAGTTGAAGTGGTAGACTGAGTATTAGTATTACTATTTTGTAAGCTTTGAACTTCAATTTCAAACTTCGAAGAACAATCTGAACAGCAAGTGAGCTGTGTCTTCTCCTCTCCTCCTTCAAGAGAAAGCCAACTCGACCCATTTTCGCCTCTTTTGCTAGTTGACTGACTTTGTAAATCACTGGAGAAAAAAGAAAATAAAGTTGATTAAGTATACATATAAACATATTCACTTAAGCACCTATTTCTTTTTTCTTCTTTTGAGGCCAAGAAAAATACTTAACCATGAAGATTAATACATATAAGCAATAGTACTCTTTTTTTTTTTTAACAAATCGGACTAGTTTGCTTAGTTATTGCAGAGATTTGAATTACAAGAAGTACTTTACAAAAGGAAGAAGAAAGAAGCAATACTTAATTTCGAAACTTTATACCAACCTATCAGTGATGAGACTCAAGCGCAGGCTGTCTGCAGGGATTGTTAGAGGATGAAGACCCAGAACAGACTCCATTGATGGATGGCCAGATTTGCATCTCATGAAAGTTTGGAAAGTAGCAAATCCCATGATCCAAAACCTGCCATTTTCCCCCACACTACTAACCAATTTCCCAAGCTCCATGATCATGTGCTCAACTGGACAATAATAGCCCCTCACTTGCTCACTAGAACTGGCCCTATACTCAATTGCCCATTTAAGATCTCCCAAATTCAGAATCACCCCTGTGCTTATACAGTTCCTCACTAGTCTCTTGAGCTCTTCAAGTTTCGCTTCCACCTCTAGTCTATTTAGGTGCCCAAAAGAGGAGAAAGAGAGGGTTATGAATTTTACTTCCCTTAGTGACTCAGGAACATCTCCCTCATCAACTTTGTCTATCACTGCCCTAACTACAGCCTCAATGCTAGAAATACACTCTCCTACTACAACTAGACTTCTCCTCTTTTTGTTCCTCAAATTCTCTATGACATACATGACATCTTCATTCCTAATTGGTTCCGATCCCCGAGGCTTCACTACTTTATCTTCCACTTGAGTACTTGATTGAGAGAGTGCTAAAGTATTGTTACTCTCCTTATTAGACTTACTACTAGGTGCGGAAGGAGCATTTTGAGAACATATTTCTAAAGAGACGACTTGTTCGACGTTGCTTTTAACTTGTGTACTAGAAAAACCAGCTTCCCTCATGACTCTACTCACGCTAGGATCATCTAAAATTGATATAATGAGCTGCTCAAGCTCTATCTTGACAGCTAGGAGGGGCTGCTGCTGGTTCTCGATGGAGCCGCGGCGCTGGTGAGCCTGAGCACGCTTGAAGGCTGCAACCAAGGCGTTGGATATGGAAGGAAATTGAGAATGAGTCCCATACATGGGACTCGAGGTGGAAGCCGGAAGGCGGTTGAGAGCAACGTTAAAACAAAGCTCTAAGGCTCTGCACTGAAGGGGATGGGAGTGAGATTGAATGCATGCCGTCCGGAGGACGCCCGTTGTTGAAGAAAGCATGGTACTGGCAACATGTAAGGGTGTCACCTGAGCATGGCCGCGCCGCCTAGCAAGAGCTACAGCTTGCTTCACAACATTTGCAGCCTCTGTGGTAAGGGCTTGCTGCACCGTGCCACCTCCTGCTCTCATAGTGTCAATCAAAACCTATTTTTCTACAAAAAAGAAAAAAAAATGGTCAAGAAACTTAAGAGAAGGATATCAGATCAGAGGTGTTTCACTAGCTTCATGGATCGAGGAAGAAATTAATTAGATGGGATTTTTGGAAGTAGGAGATGAATGAATAGAGCTTGGGGTTCTGAAATCTAAAAGATATAGAATAACAAGATTTACCGGAGTATGTAGATGAGAGAGAGAGAAAGATAGAAGGATTTCACACCATATATGGGAAGGGGGAAGGGGGAAGGGGGAAGGGGTATGCTTTTCTTGTAGGTGAGGTAAATTGGTCCAAAGTCGATTTGGTAGTGGAAAGTGGAATGCATGTGCTGACAAGCAGGACGAATTGCACCAGTATCAAAGGCAACTCAGCTTTCTCTTTCTCTCAAATTTGATAAAAGATATGCTACTGCGAAGTGGGTCTCTTTCTCTTTTTATGCACAATATTTGTCTAGTATATATTAACCTAGAAATAATCAAAAACCAATTGCAAAATAAACCTTAATTTGGCATAATTGCTCCTAAACCTTTTATTTTTAAGAGTAGTTTGATAGTACTCAATTGTAACAACAACGGTAAGTTTTTTTTTTCCTTTAAATATCCCAAATATATAAAAATATATATATTTTATATATTTAATATTTATTTTAATTAACATTTAATGAGACCATTGATTCAATAGTTAGATAATATTCCCTCTATATATTATTTTTTTAATTATCTTAGTTTAACAATATGGTAATAATAGAAATATATACAGTAATATTTTCATATACTATGAATTTTTTATATTTTTTATATAAAATAAAACTACTTAGGGCCCGTTTGATATAGCGGTTTTGAGGTAACAGTTAGCGGCTTTATCTAAACTGCTAAATATAGGTGTTTGGTAAATTTATATATTTCGAAATCGCTACAAATAAATTGTTTGGTAAAATTTTTATTTAGCGGTTTAAAACTAACAGATGACAACTAAGGTCCAAACCACTAATAGATTGAAAAAATTAGTTTATGTAACTTTTTATACCAAACCGCTAGCGGATTAAAATTTTTTAATTTTATTGACAAATTTATCCATTTTAATTTTTTAATTTGTGGTCACATTTTTTAATTAATAATTATCTAATAATTTTCAATTTTGTTTTTTTACCTTTAATAACATTAAGTGATTATAATTTTTTTTTTGTACATTAATTTATAATTAAAAAATATATTATCTTAAAAAACAAAGTTTGTTAATTAGATAAAATGATTAATTTTTTATTTAAAAATAATATAATTTTTTATTTTTAAAAAATAAAAATGATGGTATAATTACATTATTATAATTAATTTTATTTATTTATTTTATTATT